AAAAAACCTAAAGTTTAGATGTCTGCAAAACTACCCAGTTTTAAATGCAGAGATGCATACCATATACCATTTTTATAATACATTTTTTAATAGATGTAAATACAATCAAATTTAAATACACATTACATTGGCAAAATTAAAAACCACATGCTTCCATCTCTGTAACGTTGTGGTTTTGGTTAACCAGGAAAGTAAGATGGGACAGTTATGAAAGATCTGCTAAAATCTGGTGATATAACATGCATTGTTTTGGTGCTTTGTGACAAAAGGTCAAGTTCACCAAATCTGCTTGGCAACAGGCTCCAGTCCTCACACGTGTAGAAGAAAAAGATTTTTTTATTTCGAGTTTTCTGAATTCTGAAGTAACATTTTGATTCTCTATTGCCACCTCATGATAGATTTGTGTTTTGCACCATTGTAGTTATAGTAGAAGTGGTGACCCTCACAAAGAAGTCAGCAGGTGGGCCACACAAAAGCATAAAGACGTGTGTGTGTGTGTGTGTGTGTGTGCATGTGCTTCCGACGCAGCGGAGAGATGTGTGTATGCAGTCAGTGACAGAGCCCCTCTGTCACACAAGCTAAACACGTTTATACTTATAACACTTGACTTTCACAATCCAGCGATTGCTGATGCAGCTGTGCGCCGCTTGAAGTCAGTGTGCTGCCTTAATCCGAAACGCACCCCATGGCGACGTACCATCAACACCGGCACAGCCAGAACCTGATGCGGTTCCACAGGTACACCATTAATCACATTTGTATTTATATAAGGAAAGGAAAGTCACTTTCGGCTTTTCTCTTCTAGGGGTCGCCGCAGCGAATCATCACACTGACGACTGGCATGTTGACATTTGGCACATGTTTTACGCCGGATGCCATTTGTGTTTATATAGTTATTTGTATTTAATTGTATGCTTTATAAATGTCCTGTAATGTTTTATTTTCAGGCATTGACCTGTGGAAGCTTCTCAACAAAGATGCAGAAGATGCCAGAAAATCTCAGAACGCTACTGCAGATTTCATTGTGGAGGTTCAGTGATATCTGTCTTCTCCTCTGGTCAGATCACAGGACCCCTTAGGTTACTGGTCGACGCACACATCCCTGTACCCACACCTGTTCAACCTGGCCAAACAGTTCCTGGCGACACCAGCATCTTCTGTGCCATGTGAAAGGGTCTTCTCCAAAGCTGGGGAAGTTGTCTCAAAAACCATCCACTTTGGAGACTCTATTATTTTTGAATAAAAATGCCTGAGTCACACACGCACACCCAGTGTACACCAAGCACAATCAGAACACATATTATATTATACTGTCAGAACATTAATTACATCCACAGCCTCATTGAACCCTGTAAATATTTGCTCTGTCCCGTGTGTAATTTGGGATGAATGATTATAAATCTATTTCATATTCTTAGGAATTCTTGGGGAAGGAGGATTATTTAGGTATTCAACTTTATATTTCAGATACTTTGTAAGGTAAGGAAGAAAAACAGACACGTAAAACGAAGTTAGATTTCATCTTTATTTACTCAGTGCACACGCAAGTTGCATCAGCGTCACCTTTGCAAGGCTGTACAACAACCACTGCACCGGCAGATGTTACCCACATGCTCAATGAATGAAGCTTCGAGTAGTGAACCAATTTTCGATACAAGGCTCCAAAGGGGTTCAAAGCTTCATGGGGTCTGGTATGGCCATCGCTAGTTGGAAGCTATTAAATCGAAGAAATTGTTCATGTCAATGTCGTTTTACGTTTCCCCAAGACACATTTCCATGCGCTCAGTTTTACGTCCCATCTACTGGGGGTAGTCCAGTGGGCAGTGTTGTGTCGGATGTGCTGTGCTGTTGGTGCGCGTGAATAAAAGAGAAAAGCACAAGCTCTGGTCTCCCGATCCTTCCTTTACCCAGCCGACATTAAAAACCATTTTTTTTCCGACAACTCATGAAGGCACCATTAGGGCTGAACTGCGCATGTGCACGACCAAGACCAAGCTCTGTCGGAAGGAAAGTCAGGTTTATCCAAGAGATTCATATAATAACGAAAATTGAAGGTAACTGCTTTCAGATTGACATTGTAATCACATAATGCTGTTGGGTCGTGTGCGTATGCTTGGTACAACCGTTGTCGTTTCACCTAACAGTATTGTTTTCACCTACTTCGTGGCAAGAAGAAACGTTTGCTAAGAAATGTTTGGCTAGTGCCAAAGCGATGAACAAAAGAACCCGATGACACAGCCGTGGTTTATCTTCTGTGTGAATATAGTCTCATTTGTACAACCTTTACATTTGATACGTCGACATTGTTGCAGATTAAATGTACTAATTTAGTATATCAATCTGAAATTACAGGATTGTTGGTGCTTGTATATGCGCTAAGGGGCTGAGCATTATCCGTACTGTAGGCTACAGCGATTGCGCACAAAAGTATTCATTGTTTGTCAGATTCCAAATATCACTTTGGGGGGAAGATGTACACTAACACATTCAGGACATATACACCAACATTTGCATTGTCGAGCTGACTTAATATTTCTGTAACGTTTTTGATGTTGTTTTCAATTATACGCATTGTTGAGCCTAACGCCCTTTCCCAGAGCCATGTCAGGGTTTCTGGACGGAATCCGGTGCGGAGACTGCGAGTGTAACGTGGACTGGGGAGAGAGAAGAAACACCATCGCATCCATAGCTGCTGGAGTTCTGGTATTTCACATATCTCCTCAACTTAAGGACATACAAGGTGTAGCTACGTTAGAATAATGTAGGCTGCGCTGAGACTTGTGTTACTGGGCTGTAGGTGTTTATAATTATTAATGGTATGCAGAGCTGTGAATTCATGTTTGTAAAAATGAGCAGGAGGAAGACAGATTACACATTCTCATTAAAACTTCATGTCAACAAATAGTCAGTGAACCCACAAGGATGACTGTGGGTTGTGTTTTTGCAGTTTTTCACTGGTTGGTGGATCATCATCGATGCAGCAGTGATATATCCTGCAGAGGGAGAATTTCATCACGCCTATCACACATGTGGAGTCATCGCTACAGTGGCCTTTCTCATGTAAGACAGATCTTGCAGACTTTCTTTCACAAGAGATATGAGCTCCTCCAGTATGACAAAAACTCTCATAACAAGGATCATTTATTTGTTGTTTCTGAAGTTTAATGTTTAGTCATCACATGACCTACAGGCTGGGTTTTAGTCCTGATTAAAGAGTGGTCATGTGCAGAACCCCTGGAGGGTCTTGGAACTTGGATTTTAATGGTATCCTTAATCTTCCTTGGTGCCATCCACTGACTCTTTGTTGATAGCTTTGGCCCATTTCCAGTCGATTGGTTTCTACAAACAGCTATTATTAAGTGACTGAAATTTCATACCTAGGTCACATGACAACAACCTAGCCATCCCCATGACAACTGAGCAAGTTGGAGAGTCATGACATGTGGCTGAAAGCTGTAGCAACATAAAGTAATAGGACCCTGGGATTAGATTATATTTTGTTGCTGTATAATGCTATTTCCCATGTTAGATTTTTCAGTTTGGGGTTTGAGACATTTTAAGAGCTGTTGTATGGGGTTAGTTAGCACAAGCAAATGAGAGAAAGCAACTTTCTAAGTATTTTCTGAACTGTTTTTTTTTTTTTTCTCTCTCACATTTTACTCCTTTAGGATAAATGCTGTGTCAAATGGCCAAGTGAGAGGAGACAGCTACAGTGAAGGCTGCATGGGACAGACAGGTGTGTATGATAGGATATAATGAACTACTCGATATTATGAGCATATTTCCTCATACACATTTCATTTTCTCCATTTACCATTTGTAACAATCAGGCGATTGTTACATGGTCAGCTGAATATTTTTATACTGATGCAACTAGTTTCTACAGTTCATATGCCCCAATTTTGGGCTGTCTCCTTATATTACCATTAAAAAAAAAACATGAATTAAAACATACACCCACATAGAAGTGCTGTGTCAACCCACCCTTTCTTATCTGTGTTTGCAGGCGCTCGAGTGTGGCTCTTCATTGGCTTCATGCTGGCTTTTGGCTCCCTCATTGCTTCCATGTGGATCCTGTTCGGAGGATTCGTAGTGCCTCGTAAGACTTGTTTGGCTGCTTCGTGCAGTGCAACTTTCATTCAGCAATATGTTTTGGGGTGTGATGCTGAGAGACATTTTACAGTGCGGAACAACTCAGAAGCGGGCTTTAAAAATTGTGGAGGTGTAGAGAAGCCAGTATGATACATATGTTGATACGTGCATGCTACTGTGTCAAATTACAAATGTTGCCTCGGTCTGTAACCTTCAAACCTGTTGTCTTTTGCAGAGAAGCCTATTGTGTACCCTGGTATTGCCATTTTCTTCCAAAATGCATTCATTTTCTTTGGGTACGTTAATAGTCCAAAGCATTGTCATACTTCACACTTGTGCTTTTCATCACGTTTTTGTAGCAAAATGCTTCATATGCTATTTTCTTGTCTTCTGATTTAGGGGTTTGGTCTTCAAGTTTGGACGTACAGAGGATCTGTGGCAGTAATGGACTGTGTGTCTTTATGTCCACTGTTATATACTCTGCTTTCTATACTGTATGCTTTAGTGATTATTCACTAAGTATAGCAACTTTTTAGCTTTCAAATTAATATGTTTAATTTATATCTTTTGCTGTATAATGGCTAAATCATAACCAAGCACACATTTTCATAGAGTCCCTGAAAGAGTGAATATTATCAAATGTGGCACATCTTGAATGTGCCTATTTGCACTCAGACTGTATAGCCATGTTGGTATATTGTGTTTAACAAAATGTATATTTTGGGAGATTTATTTCTATAAACTGTCCACATTTATTTTGGGTATACTGGCTTGTTTGACATACTTTAAGTTGAACTGTTTATTGAGTGAAAAAGTCCCCATAAATTATGGTGGTACAAAACATTCAGAGAAATGTTTCATAATACTCTACATATACAGTACATACTTCCAGAAGGTAACTATGTGGGTCATTTGTATTTTTCCTGAAATATCATCTGGATATATTGTTGAAATTTAATGAGCTTGCACTGCTGATCTGAGGTCAACAGAGGCTTCACAGCTGTAGGGTGTCATTTCTGTACTGGAGATTGGTATTTAACTGCAACACTTATCCATTTCACGTCTGTAGCATCCAAACCATGAGGTGAGTTTCTTGCAGCATTAAACATGAACATACTGAGGAGTAAATAAGTCTTTATGCCTCTTTTTTTTTTACAGTTCATCTTTAATTTTTGTTCTAGCCTTGGAAACATAAAACATCTAACATCTAATCTGCCTTAAAGATAATTATATGAAAATATATAGATGAATTTATGCCAAAAATAGTCTGTACTTCTAGGATTAGACTTGGTCCACTTCCTCCTCCATTTTACTTTCGCACAGCAAGATGGGGAAACTGTAAAACATGAAAGTACTTTGTCCAGTGCAGCTTTATGAAGTATACTTTTTGAGGTAGAGCACTATACAAAGTGTCAAATGCATTATTCTTCAAGTATAGCCATAAACATTTGTTTTTACATTGTAAAAGGAAGAATATAATATTGATTTCCTACCTCCCAGAAAGCCTGATCATCAAAACATTTATTGTGTTGGGGTGGTCTCCAGAAATTCCACTTGAGTAGAAGGCCTTTGAACAATGACATAAAAAAGCCATTAGGAAAAACGATTGTGCAAATGGCAACCATATAAAACAGGCTTAATATACACCAGTGCTTGTCTAAAGTACTGAAGGTAAAAACAACATTGTCCACTTTTATGATTGTACAAGGTTGTTGATAATGGAAACCTTGACAGAGACTAAGCCTACCTGTAGTGATTCCCATGGACAGACTTAGAGTGATGGTGATGAGGAGAGTACAAATGTGAAATACAGCAAACCGGATTGCCCTGCAAATAAAGGACACAGGCTGACACATCTGTGTGTGTGTAGCAATGCCAATTGTATGACATTTGCATTCTCACATTGTAGGATCATCATAGTCTTTAATCTGCAGGAGGAGATGTGCTAGCCATCCCAGCAGACCAGGGAGTCCATGTGTACTCAGGATAGCACAGGTGTCATGGCAGTGAAATGCAAGTAGCATGTGGCTCTGGAAAAGAAAAGGTCATCAGAAGTCATCATGTATAAGTTATTTAATCAAGGGGTAAATGTCTATGCGGCCATCCAGACCTTGAGGTATCGGAATCCAATGGCTGATACAATTGCAGCAACAAATCCAATTGTCATAGCCTCCCATGGCTGATGAACCACTGATATGGACACCCCGACAGCAACACCTCCAGCAAAGATGCATGACTGCATATGGATCTGACAAACAAGTGAAAATATATGCCCCATTACACATCAGCTCTCAGTGGTATTACCTGTATTGATTGTTTGATTACGTTTTTTGGTGGCTCCTCTAGTGCTAAAACAGGTATAAGTCCTTTCACTCCAATCAGTGGTGCCTGTTGTGTGTCAGATCATACCAGGTTGAGTTTTCCCTTGGGACTTGAGAGCACAGACACAACCACTGCTACTACAGCACTGACAGCCAGGGCCAGGTAGGTGCTGCACACGACCCATAGCTTCCTCTCAGGACTATCATGCACAAGCACTGAAATAAAACTAGGCCAAAACATCCAGAGAAACACAGCCCCTGTAGAACAGTGAAAACAGAGAGTAAAACTTCCTTTTTTAATTGTTGTTTAATTGTTTTTTAATTGCTGTTCAATCCTACAAACCATATGTAGCAGTAACGTGAGAAACCACTCACCCAGCATGGAGAATAATCCAGATTTGCGATCAGATCTCTCTTTTTCAAATGGCTCCTCTGATCCCTTCCAACAGACGATCCAGGTGAGCATGAGTCCAAATAAAGCCCCAAAAATGTGAAGCATCATGATGCTGTTCACAAGCTGCAACTACAGTCAGGAAGCATCATCAGCATATCACAAGCACAAGTTGAAACACAGGATTACAAGTTGCTTACCTTCAGAAAACTCTGGAGGAGCCATTTATTCAAGATAAATCCTGACACCTCCAGCAGAGAGATGAGGATAAGTTGGACAGGGTTGGTCTTCCCCAGCATGGCTCCAATTGAAACAAGGGCAGAGGCTGTGCACAATTCAGCAACTACCAAGCTAAATTAAACATTAAACAGAGGCTTAAAAACAACCTACAATGACCTGATGTCCTTAATACTGTGAGCATTTAACTGATATTAATCTCTGTCTCTTTAAGTGACAGTTTACTTTGCTATATATCATATGCAGTATAATAGCAATATGTAGACAAACAGGCACAGAAGAGATTCATACCACCAGATATGTGCCAATGTGATAAAATGTAATATCCTACCTTTCCATATCTAGTCTGATCTTTCTTCTGTAATACAAGGACTCAATATTATTGAGTATGATTGCCCATTGGGTGGCTATGGCAGCCACAAGGAGGTTGAAGCCAGAGCCACTGAAACCATACCGCACTGGAAAAGTGCATAAGAAGCCAAAACCTAGAATCACCATCACATTCACATCCATGAACTCTGCAAGAGAGAAGTAGTAGGCCTTAATAATTGTCAGATAGCTGAACCCTAGTACAAACCTAAGCACTACAGTCACTTCTGCTGTAGTTAGCCTGGTATCCCAGGGTCCAAGGTCAACCCGGGTCATCTGTTCCTATAAAGCCAGTAACTGTGTGAGCTTATCAGTGCCTGACAGCATGCAGCCCCTCCTCATACGTCTGAATTCCAGTATCTCACTTTAATTTGTTTTTTGAAGAAACTAAATGGAATACCTAAAAATGTACTTTTCATTAATGAGTTATCCAAATGAAACATAAAATTTCTTTCATCCTCCACTAGCTCAAGCCCCCTCTCCTTCCAGAGTCACAACTCACCTGTGAAAAAGTTGCTGAGGGTATTGCCATCTACTTTGTCTTTGATCTCAAAGTTAAACGCATATATGACAATGAACCCTGTCTGCAGGAAAAGCAGCAAAGGTGCCAGACAGGAGCGCAGACTTGGTGCGTATTTCGGAGCCATCGGAGATTTCCACTGCGCACTTATCCTCCAACTGCCACATGCATAGCCCTGGCACTTAGAAAAAGGGTGCAACCCCAAGCACAGCATTTCGTTTTTATCAGCTGCTGGGCAAGCATGATGAAATCCTCTATCTCAACTTGTCCGGTATAATTGAAGGTTGGTGTTAATGCTCAGTAAAACTTCAACCAACAATACTAATCATCTCTTTAATACAAAAAATATTTTTTATTATGAAAAATATATAATAATATTTGCATAAATTGCATATTTGAGTCAGGTTCTATAGCTAAGCTACTTCTCTATATGATTTTGTATTACTTGTTTCCTAAAGGAGGTGCTAACCAAAATATAGGTCTACCATTAGGCTATTTTAAGTTATTTATTAAAACAAGTCCTTTCAATTAAATTAATGTAATAAAATACATCAACAGATTGCACAACATTCATTTCTTCTTCTTCTTAATAATAATAATAATAATAGTTGTTGTTACTTTTTTCAATTTTATTAATGTCTCTCCACTTTATTTTTGTACTTTGTCTTCTTTAAAAAAAATTAATTGTGCCACTTTGTTATAATCCTACAGACAATGATATGAACAAAAAGCCACTGTTATTATTAATTATTATAAGCAATAATAACCGTAACCGTTTTTAGTCAGCACACGTTCATACACAATGCACACATTTTAACCTGGTAACAACACAGTTGGCACACAAACCCCTGGGACAAGTCTGTCAATGAAGCACACACAAAGGACATGATATAAATAACCCCTGTGTGTTGGAATGGAGGTTTTGTATGTGGCACAAAGGGAATTTTGTCCCAAAGACAGCGTATTTTCTGTTCATAATAACCCAAAGACAGAAAGCTCTATGATGAAGCCCGCCTCTGCGACCAGTTGATTGGTCAATTATCGATGCCCGATTTGTCCACAAAACATCTGATTGGCTTAACGCCGAGACACTTGACACGCAGTGGCCCTCGCCTCCTGGTTTTCCCATGTTGTTCACGGTGCAACATAAATGGCTCATTTTTAGATCCGTCAAAGAGAGAGGCCTCGGCGGATGGATCGATTGGATGTACCAGCCGTCTGACAAATAGACGTACATAAAATACAACGCGGTTTGAGTTTTTTGAGCTTGCGCTAACAGCAAAAGAGGAGGTTCAGAATAGAGTCCTTTATTTATTTCTTTGTTTCCAGTGAGGAAAAATAATAACAGCGATATATATATCACAGGCACTTCATTTATTATCTTTGTCTGTATACACAAGAAAACTGGATAAGATTACAGTGGTTAATCAAAGGCCCAAGCCAAGTGGAGGAGGATGAAGCGGCGCAATGCGGACTGCAGCAAACTCCGACGGCCGTTAAAACGGAACCGAATCACCGAGGGTATATACGGCAGGTAACTTATATGGAGTCTGATGAAGGGGTCCTCCTCACGACACTAATGGGGGGCACTGAATGAAAGATGCTCGCTGCTTGATAACTGCAGAACGTGAAACTTCCGAACATTGTCAGTGATGTCTATGAACAAGCTAGCCAATTAATCTCGCTAGCTGCTAGTGATAGCGTAGTATATGCTAGCGATATGTTGTATATTAGCAGATAACGTTAGCTGCTAAGCTAACTAGCGCTAGGCCTCAACGCAATCTGTTTTCAACAGTGTCACAAGATCCCTTTCATAGCGACGTTACTGTTTGAAATAGGCTGTAGTGGATTTGTAGATACTAGTTCAACAACCCTGAGTATCTCCCGTGTGGCCACGTTAGTTGTCATCTGCTAGCCGTGTCAAAATTAGCCGTTTCCATGTTGGCTAATGTAATATAACGTTAGAGTAGCTAGCACCACAGAAGCTTTCTGTGCTTACTGACAGCTTCATCACACGCACCATACTGATCAAATACTAGAGAAAGCAGTGCTAATAACAGTTAACATGAGTTTATAAGACTAACGTTACACTCGGTTAAGTTTGTCAGACTTTTGAAGAGCTTGAGCTGCACTATACAGTTTGAGCAACTCAAAAGTTGCTTGTTATCCTTCCCAGCCACACCTGACAGGTCCTGCTTCTGTTTGGCTTCCCTGTACGTCTGATATACCAAACGGTAAAGGCCACTGGTTGCACACATAACATGTAGACCTAGAGATGTGGGGCAGCACTTGAATTATTGAACAGGTGCCGCTCATCACAAAAAGTCATGCTTTGAAATCAAAGAACACCCCATGCTGTCCCACTGTTTGGGGCTCGGTGTTATAACAAGAGAAATGTCAAGTGAAATCAAATGTATCTTATTAAATTGACATGAATTGTGACACGAGTAAAAGAACAGCAATATACTGCAACAATATAAAGAATAAAAGAAATGAATAAACCGTAGCTGGCACTATATATCCTTGTGTTCAAAGCAGCATCACATAAGAACATACCAAAGTGCCGCTTGCACCTCTTCCTGACTGTCTCCAGAGGTATTTTAAATTTCTGTGTCCTTGTGCTTTACTGTATGCACAGCCAGTTTCATTTTATAACATAAGGCCCTTAGACTAAGTGCAGTGCACACAGGTATCTAATCTGTCAAGCAGCAGCTCCAGACATATTTCTTACACACGCTCAGTATCGAGCTGAGATGATGGACTCACTACTGAGGCTAAAGAGAAGTACCATTCTTGTTAACTCAAATCACATTGCCAATGCAGAGAAACAATCTTCAAGGTTGTAGTGTAATACGTTTTGTGTCAATCACTTTTTCTTTTCACTTTAGTACCTTTCTGTACCTGAAATTCTTGGTGGTGTGGGCCCTGGTGCTACTGGCGGACTTTGTGCTGGAGTTCAGGTTCGAGTATCTTTGGCCCTTCTGGCTCTTCATCCGGAGTGTGTACGACTCCTTTAGATACCAAGGGCTGGTGAGTGATTAAGGTCCTGATATTTTTTTATGCTTGCATAAAGGTGAAGACAGCACCAGGTCTTAGGCTGAAATTATTCTTCTTTGAAGAAACACCTATCGTACTGGGGAACCTATGCAGAGAAGGGTGTTAATGGGTAACTCTAGACAATGAACACCCCTCTCAAATCTCCATTCCGTGTTTTTTTTTTTTTTTTTTTTTTTTTTTTTTTTTTTTTTTTCTTTTAAATGTATTTCTGTGTGAAACAAGGTGATTGGTGGATTCATCCTTAATCAGGAGACTGACACTGGCAGCTTGAAACTGAGATGCCAACAGAAGTACATGTACTACGTAAAAGTAACTGCCCTGTATCTGAGCAACCCTCCATAATTATTTGTGTGTAGCCCGGAGAAGCATGATTCCATCTTTAAACAGGGCCATCTTGTCAACTTTTCATTTTTCTCTGTTCAACAGTTGGCATTTAAATGTGAGTATGAAACCTCATGAATTAGAAACTTGATAAACATTACAGGGATGTGCTATAATTTGGATGTTATGCTCTCGTCCTGACCTTCCTATAATAGTCCTGAAAACCACCCAAGGCCATCCGTCATTTTGACAGATTAGAACACTGAGGGCGATCTACGCCAGCTTAAGGTTGGGCTACTAAAAAGCCCAGATAATTGCTTTGGCATTGATAAATAAGGTGAAAAAAGAGGAACTGATGCGGTGGATGAAGGACAAGTGAGACCTACTCAATGCACCTCGCTATCTGGGAGCTGACAGTCCATTGAAGAACCATAGAATGGAGGCAATGGAGTGTGTCTGTGTCCACTACGTGTCACAGAGGGGTGCATCTCTGGTGCAGAAGGAGTGCATGCTGTGGATTTCTCCCAGTGAAGTGAGTGATTCAGGATCAAAAATTCCCACGTTCAGAGCAATTTCTAATTACTTCCAGAGAGAAATGCTCTCGGACTTCAAAACTTTGGCTGAAGTGGAGCTGGCAAGTCCAGTCTCCGGTGTAGCAGCAGAGCTCAGCTTCAGCTTTCAGAATTATAAGTGCCATGAGAATCCTACTGACAGTCGCTTCCAATGCAGGCTAAGCTACAGCAGGTCGGCTGAGAATCAGAATCTGCTTTATTAGCCAGGTGTGTTGAACACACGAGGAATTTGACTCTGGTACATCGGCTCTCAATGTGTATGTACATATCCCCATGCAAGGGGCAACGTAAGGCTGTGTAATATAAGAAAATAAGCAGTATTAACAAGCAACAAACAGTGCAAACAATGCAAAATAAGCAGTATAAACAGGCAGTAAACAATGCAGACAGACAAAGGAATGCTCATTGAAATGAGATAAATAGGAATAAAAATAGAGACCTCTATGACACAGTATAATCTGTATGAGGTATATTTACAGGTATTGCACTCAGGGTTATCATCCAATCATACTGTCGTGGGTTAAGTGTTCATCAGAGTGACAGCCTGGGGGAAGAAACTGTCCCTGTGCCTGGTTGTCTTGGTGCACTGTGACCTGTAACGCCGTCCAGAGGGGAGGAGTTCAAACAGATTGTGTCCGGGGTGTGAGAGGTCTGCAGTGAACCTCTCCGCCCTCCTTTTGACCCGTGCAGTGTACAGGTCCTCCATGGAGGGCAGGCTCGCACCAATGACCTTTTCTGCAGTCCTAACTGTCCGCTGGAGTCTGTACTTGTCCTGTTTGGTTGCTGAGCCAAACCAGACAGTGATGGAGGTGCAGAGAACAGACTCGATGATTCCTCTGTAGAACTTTATCAGCAGCTCCTGGGCCAGGTTGAACTTCCTGAGCTGGCGCAGGAAGTACATCCTCTGCTGTGCCGTTTCAGTTCAGTTTAGTTTAGTTAGCCTACCTTCTTGTAAATGGGTTGTTCATATTTTAATGGTAATTGTTTGATTATGTAAAATCACATTGTTCATATTTGCTTGTTAATGTGCAATGGCCACAGTACTTTCAGTGGCCTTTACTGCCGAAAAAAGTCATCTGCTTCATGTGATGACACGAAAAGTGGATGCACATAAACTTGTTCTGTATATTCATTATTAAAAAGATGAAATGAAAGTGAATGGAAAAATAAATGCTATTGTCTTATTTAAAAAATGAAAATTAAATTGACAGGTAATAATTAATATTGATGGAATTTTTATGACCCTGTCTGTCAGATTGATGGACAGTGAGAAAGTCTAGCATGACCTCTGGGCAGCACATTTCAGATTCTCATTGTAGCACTATCCTAAACCAGTCTGTGTATTAATCCAGTTTGCCTTCAGTTCAGTACACTCTGAAACACCAGGGTGTTCTTTATTTGCTGCCTCTCATGCTGAGAACTACATGTGCACACTATAGATCTGACCAGGCTTACAGATCGTCAGTCTGCCGACCTACATCTAAATATTTTATGCTAATGCTAATCTATTATAGTTATATTTGGCCTTGTGTTAATTATTGATGCTCATACAAATTGTTGCTCATACAAAATGTGTTAGGTATGTGTTTGTTTATGCCTGTGTCTCACAGACAGAACAAAACATTTATATACCCATTCATATAATCATCCATAGTGCAGTTTGTCATTAATTAAATATAGAGATTACTCCGTGTCCAGGACCCACTCTTCTGTGTATTGGCATCTAAAAGCTGAAGGTGATTGTTTGCCTGGAAAACTATTTCCTTTTATAAGGGAATAGTTTAAATCTGAATACTTGATGAGCTTCTCACTTTTCAGAGTGGAGCATGAAATACTAATAGAAACACACACTGTTCGTCTCTCACTTGTGCATATGTTGCTGGTGTATGATATCCATCTCTCCTCTCCCCAACAGGCCTTCTCAGTATTTTTTGTGTGTGTGGCATTTACCTCCGACATCATTTGCCTCCTCTTCATCCCAGTGCAATGGCTGTTCTTCGCTGCCAGTACCTATGTGTGGGTGCAGTATGTTTGGCACACAGGTATGGCCCTCCTCTGTTTAGGCAGCTTGATATTCGTCAGTTAAAAAAAAAAACTGCATGTGATAAATGGGCAGTTAACTGATGTTTTGCAAAAGGTTCATACTGTAAACCAGGGACAAAATAAACCTTGTGGTTACAGTTGTTCTGTTTCACAAACAAATTAAGGAAGAAAGGTAGAAGATTTTTGTATATTTACATAACGGACTATTAAGATAAACCTTCCTTTGAAGTCACATACCATGCTCATTCTAAGAAGTTCCTCTTAGTGCTTCAGGGAGAAGCAGGAGTGCACACTGTGTGTGCAATATCCCTATACATTGTATTGTTGTATATAAAATTAATTCGTTAGCATCTTCACATGGTGTGTGTAAGTCAACATTAGTCAAAACTTGAACACTTGATTTTGTGATATCCCCCTGGGTTGTCCAAAGGCCAGGTGTCAGATTGAAGTCCCAGTGGCAGCTAGGGGAAGGACAAACACAGAGTGGTCCCCAGGTCTAGGGCCTGCAGGTTTAGTCAGTAGCGATGTTAACTATGGGACATCACAAACGTTTCTTTCCACTGGGTGTATTACAACCAAGCAGACATCCCATTTTATCTGCTAGTTTTCAGTCTTGACACTGGCTAGAGTGGTATGTTGGGCAGTTTGACCTCTGCCAATTAATATGAACCATATTTGATAACCACAGCCTTTGTCCCATGCAAGGTCAGAAGCACAAGCAGGCCTGTGGGGGATGCATAAGGATAGAGTCATTAATGAGCCTGCCAAAGTCATTATTAAATAATAAATTTGGACCAGGACTGCACACACAGATGACACATCATCCACTGTACAGTAGGCCTAAGTCAACAATGGTGAGGTTTAGTGTAATTACTAAAATAAATACTCACCTCTGTGTCCTACTTTGCTGAGAAACACATTTTAATACAATTCTTCCTGTCAAATATAAGCTTAGATGCACCTAAGAATGTTTCCTGAATAAAGCATACAGTTATGATTTGTAGCATATGATATAAAAAAACTACACAAATAATAAAGTATTCTGTGCCAATATTTTTTTCCAGAAAGGGGGGTCTGTCTGCCCACCGTGTCTCTATGGATACTCTTTGTGTACATAGAGGCAGCCATCAGATTCAAAGACCTGAAGAACTTTCACGTGGATTTGTGTCGCCCTTTTGCTGCGCACTGGTGAGCCACTGCTATGTATTAACAAGGGGCACTGAAACAGGCATGTCTGCATTTGGTGTTGACTGCAAATGTGTGTTGCTAAGTGTGAAGAACAGACAGTTACATTAACTCATCTAAATTTTCACACAATCACATTCAGTGCTACACACTGTTTATTCAGTGATGTCCCATGTTTATGTTGTCGACCATATGCCCTTTCTTTTCTTCATTTTCACGATAAGTCAGTTTAAGCCTTGATTTTCTTGGAAATTTTAAAGAATAAATGAAATTATGCTGTTAGCCCTGAGTTTCAAAGGTGTGAAAAAATGCAGCCCGCTTCCATTTATTTCTATGGGGGATTACGTTCACCGCAGCCAGCAGCAGCACCGCAGGGTTCAACTTTAACCACACCAGATGGTGACATCATGCGGCAAAGGCGCTGCGCTGAGCAATCATGTACAGGGGACGATTGGAATGTGGATGCTCACGGGAGGACTCTTGTTTTCCTTGTTAGCATGAACATTCACTGCTATTCACTCTCGAATTTGGGCCAGTTAACACGCCATAGCGATGCCATGTGTTTTTGTTAGTACAGGATGTTAAATGGTGGTTTTGTTTGTTTGTTTGATTGTTTTTAACCTATCAATGCCGACACACCGGTGGTAGAATTGGTGCTAAGGTAGAGTCGGGTTTTTTAGCTGACCAAAACACAATGGAAACTCATGGGCTGGAAATGTGAATGAAACCACTCATGTCAACTTGTCACAATGTGGTCACATCATACAAGCCTGCAAGACACCCCCTGCAAACCCTCAACCCCAACCAATGTAGCCCCTTGCATAAAAACACAGCAGGGAGTTGCGTTTTACTGGACTCAGTCTGAGCCATTAGCATTTGAAAAAAGTATGCACATTCTTAAAAAACCCTCAAAAAGGATTGAAGTGCCATCGGTATAGTCTAAAGTCATATACTGCTTAGTGCTAAGAGAGATTTGGATTTGGTTGTGCTACCCTGTATTGTGCTGTGAAGAGAGGCTATTTATGTGGTGTAATGAAAAATGATAAAATGTTGAAAATAAGTGCTTTTTTGCATTATTGTGATTTTGATCTTTGACCAAAGAGTAAACTTATGAATGCGCTTCTTGCCTCCCTCTCTGTAGCATCGGCTACCCAGTGGTCACACTGGGCTTCGGCTTCAAGAGCTACGTAAGCTATAAAATGCGTCTCCGGAAGCAGAAAGAAGTGCAGAAGGAGAATGAGTTTTACATGCAGCTCCTGCAGCAGGCACTGCCTCCAGAGCAACAGATGCTTCAGAGGCAAGAGCGAGAAGCAGAAGAAGGTAAGACTGAAGCACACATATACCAGATAGTCCTGAAAATAGACAACAATAATGCCTGTGGTGATACAGAAGTAAAGTTCTGTGTGACCCTTTCCCAGTGATAACAGGTGGTGCGCTTCTTTTATTTTTGTACAACTGCTTGTTAATTACAGACAACTGTGTGAAGTTGGTTAAGTTCATCATCATCCATAGGTTTATTTAGATTAGGTTTAGCTTTGGTCTTGGAAGACAGCTCACAAGGGATTTTGCTCCTGTTTATGTAATTCAATGGATGGTGATAACATGGACTGTAAACATGAAACTGTCTTTTTAATCACAATCAGACTTTTAACGAGTTCTTAAAGGGCTGTCATTACTCTGTTCTGTTAAAACATGCCAATATTACTCCAGCTTACATTTGCTGCAGGTGCAGCATTTTCCTGCCTATCCAAGCTCTGCGGTTGCAGGTGTACCTGCACCACAGTTTAAATAAATACACCATGTACCTTATGATAAAAAGGCTGTGGTTATTGGGTGTGATTAAGTAAAGCTTTGATTGGAGCCATAGTTTTCCTGCAGAGCAAGAGGTTAGTGGAAAACTGTCAACTGTTGCCAGCAAAGGAATATGACTGCACTAAACTGTCTCTGCATGCAGTCCATTTCACACCAGTAACACTTAAGGGGAAAACTGATACAGGCTTAACTATTCTGAGCACTGACTGTGATTAAGTTTTGTTTCAGATGGAAGATGTGGAGAATTATTTGCTGGTCAAGTGAGGATAAAGAAGAAACCTTTTTAGATCAAGTATTGTAACAGTTGTTAGACAGATTTCACATGTATCCCGTTTACTTTGCTTATCATTCATACAGCAGCAGCAGCAGTTAAAGGAATATCTGAAGTGGACACGCTTACAGTGTCACAGAATGGCGCCCCAGCCAATAAAAAGACATCGGCACCACTGCCGGAGCTAGAGTACAGAGAAAAAGGGAAAGAAGGAAGGGGTGGTGGGGAGGCTAAAAAGCAGCACAACAGCATCCTGCCATCATCAGTGGACTCTAAACTCCAAGAGATGGAGTATATGGAGAACCATATGAACAACAAGAGACTGACCACAGAGCTGGGCAGCACAGAGAACCTGTTGCTTAAAGAGGACAACACTTCCCCCTCCTCCTCCTCCAAAAACTTCAAAAATGCGAGCAGCAATGCCATGACGCTCAACTCCTCACCCCGCGGCCATAGTGCAACCAATGGCAGCCTGCCCTCCTCCGCTCCATCTTCCTCCTCTTCCACAGGGAAGAACGAGAAGAAGCACAAGTTAGCAGTGGGGAAGGGGACGTCAGGTGGCTCCCACAGAGATCCCACAGACAACTGTATCCCCAACAACCAGCTGAGCAAGCCAGAAGCACTTGTTAGGTAAGCACACGATCAGACATGCATATTCATCTGGCTACAGGCCAATTAACAAACAAAATGCTGTGGTCATACATTATGCAATGGACTATTTACTCTGTCATTCAGTGGCACTCTGCACACTAAGCCTAATTTATAAACCATATATAAACCACACTCAGCCAAATAGTTTAAATGGTTTACAGATGCACAACTCGGCATTGAGAAACTGTTGACCATTAATTATCTGTAACATTTTCTGGTGTCATATTTTATACGTCTCAGGCCAAAAGAAGCATCACACTGTATGTGTGTGCGTGTGTGGACGTGTTTTTCCTGCTACGTGGGGACTTCTTCCTGACTCCATACCAACTCATGAGGACCCATTTCACGGTGGGGACCTAAATTGAGGTCCCCATGGGCAAGAAATTGAATTTTAGGGAGGCAACATGGTTTAGGGTTAGGATGAGGTTAGGGTTAGGTTAAGGTTAGGGTCAGGGTTAGGGTTAGGCAAGTAGTGGTTCTGGTTAAGGTTAGGGTTAGTCTACAGGAAATGCATGTAAGTCAATGTAAAGTCCCCATGGACTAC